GGAGCAGTTTCAGTGAGTGTCTTGAGGGCTGGCAGTGACTTGTCTCATATGGACATTAAGTAATTTGCACATGGCTACAGAAGATAGAAGATAAACCTTCATTTAAAGTCATTTGATTTAACCTACAATCATTCCACACAAAGTATAATTTCCATATTTAAATTTAGTATTTTCTCTGATTAGGGGTGACACTTTAAATTGTTGCCACTAGGACTTTCCAGGATAAACTTGAGCTGTTCCACATACAAAATCAATTTGCCTCATTATAGATAAAGCTAAAGAATGACTAATTCACCCTCCAGCACTTATTCATTCAATCCTTGACAGATACTGTATCTGTTACACATCTACCCACACTAGCTGTTTTAAATTTGCTAGTTCAGCCACCCTTCCTGAAGCTCAGCTTGAAAACGGTTTAGAGAAACAACAGGTCTCTGTCAAACCCGTGGCTGTCTCCCTGTCATGTCCCCTGCTTATCCATTGGGTTTATCTCTTTGGACCGGTCCTCATTCCAGCATGCCTCCAAGGATGGGCGGTGACTAATGCTTTAGACAGTGGTGTTTTTAACTCCACTGTAGACACCATCAGCTGGAGGTCAGAAGGAAGATACTCCCAATCTTCATGTTTCACATGAAATCTCAGCCATTCATACTGGCGTCCACACCAGCTTTAATTTCAATTTTAATTTACAGACCCGCGAGAAAAAGACCTTTCCTTCCTGCAAAGCACAGAACATCACCAGTGTGCATGACTTTGGAGAAGTTCCCATCTCCTAGGGACGTGCTGTGTCCTTAAACAAAGTAGAAAACCCATCTCACATCTGGAGCGCTCTGGTCCCACATGGGAGAAGGAATCTGCCCCATGTTACAGAGATGTGCCTCCGGCTCGTCTGCACACGAGGCTCATATTCCTCTTTCCTCACGTGAGAGTGATCTTTCAGCCTTAACCCCCCAGATTTGTCTGGAAAGTCAGATCTGAGCATCTCTGACAACATTTAGCCTCTGACTATTTTTACTTTCTCTCTGATTCCCACTGCCAGTGAGATGCTGTAAAAGAAACTGAAAACACCTCCAGCTTCCTTCTGCTGCTCCCGTCTCAAAACCACACAGCATCCGTCCCCAGAGGCTTGCCAGGAGGCTGGTTTTATGTGTTAATACAAAAGGACACACTCACACACACACATTATCTACGTTTCCTTCTATCAAATGCCTTTTTCTTATCATTTTTAAACCTGCTCTGTGTCTGCCCATCACAGACTAATTTTACATCTTCCTCTTACTTCTTTTTTTTTTTACTTCTTTTTACTTTCTTCCAGGTGAGAAACCATTAGGCTTTCTGGAAGGGGTATGAGAAACTGCATGGCACAAAGACAGCTCTGTAAACCATCCTGGAGAAGAGCTGGCATTTGTGGAAGACACACAGCTGGTGGGGAGCTCCTCTACCCCATCACACTGTCCCACTACCTTTCAAATCTCCTTTTCTTGGAAGAGTTTTCCATCAGGAATTCTTTCGAGCGGCCCAGCTTTCCTTCTAAGATGATCCAGATGTTTTCCTTTGTTTCTGCATCCTCTCTGTCGCTCGTTACTGTGGCAATCTCATAGGCTTTGAAACGTAATTAACACACATGTTAAACAGAAAAGGAAGAGCAGATGGCCAAAAAGATCTCTTCATTTGGCTGTCACTTTGCTTAAAGACTCACTTCCTAATATTTATCACAGCACACTAGAAAGCATTTGCAAAATAAGGATGGAACCAGACTGAAATCAGGAGGACTTTTGACTTCTATGATGTGCCTTGGATTTCATGCAGGGGTAGAGTGCCTGAAAAATGTGAGTACTGCTCGATCGACTGGCAAGAGTAGATGGAGTTGCTCTTGACCAGCTCCCTGCTGTGCTAAGCACTCCCTGTTTAACACAGCCCAAATCCTACAGTTTGTTGTGGCACTGTTCCTGACAGGGATGGTGAGGGTATCCATGTACCCAACAGGATGTGCTCAGATGTTATGGTGGCATGTAAGTACCCAAAATAGCAAGCACAATATTTTTTTTTTTTCCCCCAGGGTTAGAGTGAAATCACACTGAAGTAATGTATTATTGACTCTCCAGAAGAAGAGCACTGCAGTGCAGGAGTTCTTGAGATGCACTTTGCGTATCATCAGTGCAGTTAAGTAACTCGCTCACTTGCTCACCGCATTAGACACCAGTGTAATTACCTTGGACTCGGTGGAATTACCCAGAGCAGATCCAGGCCTATGGGGTGTTAAGCTCAGCTGCCATATCCAGCTCAGATACTTGAGCTAGTAGCCCAGAACACGTTAAGCAGGAAGCTGGAGCAATGTTACTTACCAATCTTCAAGGATTGAACTTACTTTCCACCTCAAAGACTTAAGCCCATTATTTCTAATGAGACCATAACCACGCGTCCTTATGCTTTCTGCTGGACTGAACCTCTGGACATGGGCCTCTCTTAAGTTTCAGCCCAGAATGAGATCTTTTTTCTCCTCATAAATTCTGATTTGTTTCTTTCTTATCACAACATTGCACTTTGGAACTGAATATTACCTTAAGTAATTCAACCCTTAAAGCCTGCAAATACAAATGCCTCTTGCATGGGAACCCTCAGTGCTTGCCAGTATGGTCCTATAGCCTCTGGGGTCACTCAACAAATGCTACCAGTCAACTCCACACTTACCGGTCCGTTCCTTCAATTCCAAAATGTCATTGTTGGCACAAGCCAGTTCCCTTATGAGCTGCCCATCGTCTTCACCTTTAGCCAGCCAACGATCACATTGGAAGCGAAATGTCTTGTCCATGGCAGAGTCATTCACATCAATATATTCCAAATGCCAACCTGGTGCGATTCCTAGTAAAACAACAAAATAAAAAATACATTTTCACATTGCATGGGTAAAGAGATGAGATAGGTCTCCTGAGGAGGATCCTGCTCATGCTAGAAATGATCTATATTTCTTTCATATAACGTCACCAGTGAACACAATGCTGTTCTGATGCCTAAAGCAATGATGATCTCCTCAAGACCATAATCTGATCCCCCTTCTAGACTCAGACCACACTTTTGAGGGACTCGCTGTCTTCTGATCAGATATAAGGATGTTGGAGCACAGTCCCAGAGAAGATAGGTTTCATCATGTGTGGGCAAGGGACCATTGCTTGTCCTTGCCCAGCACTTTGCACAAGACTGGGCTTCTGCCACACCAGTAGCAGCAGCAGTGAGCAGGGAGAGCTGGGGCCAGCATGCCCCCATCAACACACCAACACAGGAACCATCCCAGGAAGACGGCACAACAAACCCTTACAAAAGCCCCAGGGAAATCAGAGCTTTGTGGAACTGTTTGCCAAAGCCAGAAGCATGAAATCTGGAAATCTGAGGGTTTGGAGGTGAAAGTTAATGGAGCGGCTGCTGTCACAGAAACCGCTGCTGAGCCTTCCTTCCATTTTAACATGAAGCCCATAGCTATTGAAGAAGACATAGCAGTGTGTGCAAGGCTTGTGGTGGTCCCTTCACAATCAGGGAGTGCTAGTTGGCCACAAGCTGTAGGGTTTGCTGTCTTTCTCTGGGGCCTGTATTATCCCCAAACCCTTCATATTTGGATTTGAAAGTTAGAAAGTAAATTACAACTTGCTCCTTTGACCGTGCCAGGTAGAACATGCAAGGAAATTGCCCATGCCATGCTGACTTTGCCAAGCAACCAGGGTGAATTAAATAATGCTGTGACTGGACCTGAGCATAGGACAGACTGAAGTGATGGATGGTCTATCAGAAAGCACCAAATCACCTAACTTTTACCTTGGGTCCTTCCGAGGAGACGTAGCTCCCTTTTAGTTTTCTACTTAATTTCTTTTTTTTCTTTCTTTCTTTTTTTCCCTCCTCAGTGACAAAACAACTTGAAAATGAAGAAAAGAGCATGTGGGAACATTTTCTTGATTTCTTTGTTGAAAGAGAAGAAGCCCTTTTTGAGCTTGGGGGGATGGAAGGCTCTGACAGTTCTACTGACAAGTCCTGTTATTAGTCAGAAAAAGAAAGGTTATGTTCACGGTGAGAGACCTCTGCTGACTTATTATTTACATCCCAGGGATACTAAACAGCTCTTGCTCTTCCAAGAACTCACTCCCATGTACCTACTTCCTTAGTTTGCAAATATTAATCTTCTTTAGTTCTGAAAAGAAAATGATAGCACCTTTTTGAGTTATGTCAAGTAGCCACCCTGTTCCTGTAGACTGTGATCCCTCCACACCATGGGTTGGCAGTTCTCTGCCAGCCTCACGGCCATTCCTGTCTGGTGCTTTGTCTTCCTGAACCTTCTTCAGGCTATGAAATTACCTGCTACAAAGCACAGACCTCAACCAAAAACACCACTTGCCCCATAATTTTCAGGGGCACAGAACTGCAGAATCATTGTGGCCGGAAGGAACCTCTGGAGAATGCCTAGTCCAACCCCCTGCTTAGAGCAAGCTCAGCTAAAGCAGGTTTCTCAGGGCTGTGTCCAGTCAGGTTTTGAATATCTCCAGGGGCAGGGACTCCACAACCTCTCTGGGAAACCTGTGCCTGTACACAGGAAAAAGATTTTTCCTTATGTTTAAATGGTATTTCCTGTATTTCGATTCATGCCCATTGCTTGTTGTCACTGGGCACTGGTGAGAAGAGTCTGGCTCCATCTCTCCCCATCAGATACTTGTACACATCACTGAAATCTCCCTGAGCCTTGTCTTCTCCCAGTTGCACAGTCCCAGCTTTCTCATCCTCTCCTCTACAACAGATGCTCCAATTCCTTAATCATTTTTGTGGCCCTTCACTGGACTGGGAGGACAGTGCTGTGTGCCAGTGACAAGACGTGTGCAAATACCAGGGGTGCAGCACCCAGGCAGGGGAGTTGGATGCACTATCCAAACATGCAAGACCTTCTCCAGCAGCTCCAGCAGCAGGACCGAGGTACTAAGCGGGGTTTGGTACCCTTGCCGATCCTCACCAGTTTGCTGCCTCCTGCGCAGGTCTTATCAAGTTCCCCTGGGCTTCCACCACACTCTAAATGGAGCGATTTTCTCTTTGGGGTTGTATAGAAACTTATTCTAAACATGTTGGCAGTGTCAGCCGTTAATCTTTTTGGCAGGCTCATTTCCATTTAAGTTCAGTGAATATCTCTGCAGCATATTCAGGGGGCTGCTCCGCCTCCATCAAAACTTTAGTTAGAACAGTACAGGATGAAAGAAAGAAAACATCCCACCCTTCTCCAGCGAGAGAGATCAATGGCTGCAGAGTGGGATAGAATGAATTGGTGATCTTAGTCCTGTTGCTAACAGGGAACAGCATGACTGGTACAGGTTCAGTGATAAGCACGGTATCAGAAAAGAGACTGAATTAGATGCACAAACCCTCCTCCCTCTTCTCAAGCCTGGTCCCAGCAGCCGCTCACTAGGAGAGCAGCCACAATTACCTATTCTTTTATGACAGGGACAGGTGGGACAGAGCTGATTTTCCAGCATGTGTTGGTGTTGAGGGCAAAGCAAACCCCAAGTACAGTTTTTCCTGGTGTACCATGCTAAAGATACATTTTCCAGCTGTGGGCTATTTTAAAGAGCAAGATCTGGGCTCTGTCAGGGGATAAACACTGAAAAAGAAATACCAACAGGGTATTTTCTTACACCACAAGGTACCTCAAATCAAGGACCTAACTGGTCACTCTTAGAAAAATAGTGATACTGCCCAAAACATCCTCCTGTCTGCTTTAAAGAAAAAATACTTATCTTCCCTCTCACTAGAATCGGTCTTTCCTTTTTCCTGTTTTCATTCCTGATGGTTAACAAAGTAGATTAGGAGATACAGAAGCTGTAGAAGTATCCTATATTGCTTTTCATTTTTCAGGAGAAATAATTCAACGCAGGTGAATGCTGTACAGACGAGGTCCAGAGCAGCACATCTTCCCACCTTGTTCATGTCCCTTGGTGCCAGGAGTAGTGTCACATCAAGGGTTTCACTGACACAGCATTAAACCCCATTTAAAAGCTGGTATAGAAATGGAAGGATTGGCTGGGGGATGGAGAAATTATTCTGCTTTACCAGACAGAGTTGAGCTGGCTTTGCAAGCAGGGGAGCACATCAGTGGAAGGAGAAGAAACTGTGTTTTCAGAACCGCTTTGCAGGTCATAAAACCTGGTTTCAGGATATTACCCTGTTTACTCCTTCTGTTCCTGTGTGGCTGTTGCAGAACAATTGGCTCAGAGGCATTACAGCTCCTAAGAAACAACAGGAAAGGAAACATAACCCCAGAGGAACCAAATCCTCAGCACAAGCAGGTTTATGGTGTGGGCATCAGTGAAGGAGTGAGGAAAAGGAGACAGAAAAGTGGTGTGGATGTATCAGTGTGGAAGGACTTTCCTAGGTTCTGTCCACCTCTCACTGCCTGGCCATGCAGGAGAAACTGGAGGATCTCTGCAGCAATGGCTCATCAGCCTTTTCCTTGGATAATCTTGGATGGTGGATCCTGATCTGCTGTGAAAGTCACCGCTGCTCCATCACTCAACTTTCAGTGCTGGCAGAAGAGCCAGAGCAGATCTGCTTGTGTCCCGTTGGCACCTTGACCAACAGTGCCACAAGAACAAGGGTTCAGGAACAAGTCAACTGCATGAATGCCCTGGGAGCATCATAGACTTTTCTGCAGTGGTCCCCAGTACAAAGCAGGACCACTGCATTTGTCTTCATTATTGCTTTGTGGCAGAAGGGAAGAAATAGCAGATATCTGAGCAATTGCCGCTTGATTATGCAGGTCTCGGGCTTTAAAATAGTTTGGCCACCTCCGTGCCTTTATGGAAGATCCCCTATCACTACAACAAGTGTTCAACAAAAGGTACTTCAATCCAGTCTTGTTTTGCTGCCGTCGAAATCCCCAGCAGCAAACCTGCCCTAATAAAACCCGTGGCTGTGCCACGTAGGCTCCTTAGTGATCCACAGCTGGAAGTGACATTTTTAATAGCGTGCAAAACATTTCAAATGTAATTAGAGGAGGAGAAGAGCTTTGGGGAAAACAGAATCACTTTGCTTGCTTGACTCTGGCAGTTGTATAATTTAGTGTCATGTTTTTTTTTCTTCTCCAAGTGCCCTTATCCAAAAGAGCAGTTTTTTGTCCCATTTATCCTTCTTTCTGAAAGGGCACAAGCTGACAACTGGGTGATGCTGGCCAAGGACTCTCTGTGTACTTCTGCAAGGTCTTCACAGGAACATCTTGCCTTTTTCCCACGTGATGCTAAAAGTCTGTGTTCCTGCCATTGGACAGACAGGTTGGATTGTAACCTCCTTGTCATGCATTTCTGCTGCAATTAGCTCAATCGAGTCTGACTTTAGAAGTTTTGGATGTAACACAGTTAATGAGATTACTGCTTCATTTAACTAAAATACCAACTTGCAACACCACAAGTTTCCTTTGCTCCTCTTGGGAACAGCCATCACTTTCTCCAGCCTGTATTCACCCCTAAAATATTAAACTACTCTGACAGATGCAGAAACATGGGAAGATGGGAGAAAAAGAGTGAGAAAGAACTGTGTGGTGAGTTCAACACTTACCAGGTGCCTGGTCCCAAACCTTGCTTTAGTGAATATTAACTATTCACAGAATCATAGACTCACAGATGGGTCTGGGTTGGAAGGGACCTTAAAGATCATCTAGTCCCAACCCCCCTGCCATGGGCAGGGACACCTTCCAATAGATCAGGTTGCTCCAAGCCTCATCCAGCCTGGCCTTGGACACTTCCAGGGATGGGGCATCCACAGCTTCTCTGGGCAACCTGTCCCAGTGCTTCATCGCCCTCTCTGGGAAGTATTTCTTCCTAATATCCTGATTCTTTGTAGGG